CCCCCCCCCCGATTCTTTTTAGGTCAGGGGGGCATGCTCCCATGCTCCCCCGAAACCGCCAAGTCAAATATTACTATTTTCAAACTCCAATAACTCAATAACTATTTATTTGCGGCAACAAATGAAAGCCATACGTTCGTGTTCAGCATGAACAATGTACTACTACTAGAAAAAAGTATATTAAAACGTGTACATGAGACATGTGCATACATAAGTAAAACAAAAAACAAAAAAAAAACCGGCTCTTCTTGAACCCCAACCGACTTAATCGTCAATGGCAATGTCTTATAACCTGACTAATTGCGTAGTTATATTTGATTTGTTTTTAACTGTATTGGAAAGGGGGGGGGGGGGGTTATATTATGTGCCCTCCTGAGTTGAAACAAAAATCTGGGAGGTTTTATGGGAGCATCCCCCTCCCCCTGTATTTCACCATTCGATACACAATGTATTGCCAAGGTTTGGTATTTTCTTGAAAACAATTGATTTACAAAGATTTTAGTGGCCAAATTATGTGTTCTGCAGCAACAATTACAGCAATTCAGCCCCCAAAACTGTGCATCTCTGTGTGCGGGTCTAAAAGTAAAAATTTACCTCTGATATTAAATTGTGAAATGGGATACACATGAAAACAACGTGTGTATACAATACTTTAGCAACTTAGCGTAAGACGGGAGTGAAAATAAAACAAAATAATATCGGAAAGAAAAATATCAACATATCTGTAAATATCACATTAAAAAACTTTCAGAAACTCGAGAATCTGTGAAGTCTGAAGGCAGTAAAATTGTATCATGACAACTTAGGCAATCTGAACGTGTACGTCCTCTGTGTCTACCAGCCGAGCATGCAAGCTGCTTTTAGGGGGCTCCCGTGGTCCAGAGTTTACGGTGTTCGCCTTTCATTCAATAGATCTCGGGTTCGAAGCCAGACAGCAACACACATTTTTCTTCTCTAAATTCTTTTCATTTGGTGTTCGCCTTTCATTCAATAGATCTCGGGTTCGAAGCCAGACAGCGACACACATTTTTCTTCTCTAAATTATTTTCATTTCACCCCCTTTCTTGCTCTCTAACCATGTTCTGTCATCTGCTTTCGTTTCCACCTTCCTATCACTGTCCCCTCCTCTGGGCTCCTGACTCTTTCTGCTGCGTTTTTACTGTCATTCCTTGACTCTTAATTCATACTGACTGCTGACTTTCAGCCACGCACCTGATCTTATGGTAGATAAGGTCTAACATAGCGTTCTCAGATAAGGGGCGAAAAATCTCGGAGATTCCGTGTGCAAGTTGCGCACGTTAACGATCCCTTGGTGGTTCAAAATCGATAAGAGTAGGCTCTGGTCGCCACCCGAGCAAAATTTAAATTAAATTCCTACTACCAGTGGCGAAGCGTCTTTATAATCAAATAATCACCTCTTCCCTTCCTAATTTTGAAACATTGCCGCAGTCAAATTCACCCATAGACGTAAACCTCATGTAAATTAAATGTAAAAAGACGCTCAAAATCACCAATAGACAGTATGCCTAACATTCAAAACGGTTTCATTGCCACAGAAATAGCCTGTTCACCCCTATCGTGCCACTCCATAAGAAGTCACAAGCTTTGATTTTAAAGTAAGCTTACAGTTAGGCTGGAAGAGTCTACCAAAACAATTGAAGGGAACATGTGTGCAACAATCAAAACTGTTTCATTGCCACATATACCCTGTTCACCCCTTTTGGGCCACAGTTATAAGCAGTCACAAGCACTGATTATGTAAGCGAACTATTACACTGGTCGGGTCTACTTCACAAATATAGAGGGGAACTAACTCCTCCTAATAATATCTTGACTGCTGCGAGTGCTTGTTTTTTTTTTCTCGAATTTTTACCGTCCTATAATCAGATTGTGACCTCGATTATGACACCGGCTCCTGGCCGCGAAAAGCTAGACAAAAACAGCCAAATGTGAAATAGAAAATTAATAATGTTCATGTTCGCCACAGAGTTTAGTCACAGTGGTATTACATACTGTAGTACTGTCATCTCTGCTTCTTTGCTTTGTGCTTGTGTATTCACATCTAAAGATAAATTTAGTGTTTGTTGGAATAAATATTTAATGAGATACTTTCCCGATTATTTTAGTGGTTGAGCATACATACAACATGAATTCAGGATTTGTTTTCATTCACAATTTCAGTTTTGCCGCCTCGAGTTAGATTCTTATGTGATATATCTCCAGGCCCTATCTGGTCCCGTCTCACTTTGATCACCCTCTCAAACAAGTCAGTCTTCGCCCCTGCCTACTACACTGAAAATATTTAGTGTGTCCCATGTGCTCAATAGCCTATGACCTTCCTCGGTTACGAGCGCCGTAAAACACTTACTACTGAAAAAAAAATGCTTTTATAAAGATAGTCTATCAAGACACAAGAGGGCATGTAGTGTGATGAATAATGTCGGTCTCTTGCATCTCAATCCTTGGCCTTGTCACCCACGCATAACACTACTTAAAGACACAAAAACACATGATTCTATCTACCTTAAAATAATCTCAATTTTCAAGACGAGTTCTCTCTCTCTCTCTCTCTCTCTCTCTCTCTCTCTCTCTCTCTCTT